CTTTAGACAGGAACAGTTAGAGTTCCAGAGAAGAGATGCATTTTCTTAAATAATTATAGGCGAAAGTTTGCTAATCATTTCCCATACATCTCAATCAAGAGGTTTTTTTTTTTTTTTTTTAACAAGTGGTGCTGTGTCAGTTATGGTGTAAAGGACAGGCATTCAGGAGTTTGGTAACTTATTGCAAATGGAACAAGCTATCACATTATAATGACAAACTGAAATGGGCCTACATTTGGAGAAAATGTTAGGTAAACTAAAAACGAAACTACTTAACCAATGTAGCACCAGTCATGTCTTAAAAAGCATATTTGTATACTCTGTTGTATATTTAACATTAAGTCATTTTATTTGAAAATTTGCATTGGCATATATTTTCAAATTATCTGTACATGCCATCTATCAGCATTGTTTTGCATTTTTTTGTAGTGTAGCGAAAGAGTTACCTATATAAATATTTATAAATATGAGCACACATCGCTAGTTGAAAAGAAAATCCTATTTTGAAGATTGCAGAGAAGACTGTTACTGTTTTTGTATCTCTTAGAAAATCAGTGCTCCTGGCCAAATACATTTTTATGTATTATTTTCATAGACATTTTGAATATTGCTTTGAGGTAGAGATAGAAATATTTCAAAGAATACAAAATTAGACTTTTTTTTGCAAAACCTAAATTTCTGTTTGATAAGTTCCCCTTTATTTATCATATAAATAAATAAATGACCCAAAACATGATGTGTTCAAAATCATGTGATTTTTTTCCTCATTATTTTAAAAGTTGTAAATTTATCCATGAGAATATATGTAAGATAGTTTAGAGCAGTATACAAAAATTAATAATTGTTTCTGATAGAACAATTATGACAAGATTAGACTTGAAGTAGTTTTTGTGTTTGTTTGTTTGTTTGTTTAATGCTTTCATGGTTGTTGTTTAGAAGACAAACTGAAAATGGGTATATTCTTTTGAAATGTGAGGAACATGAAGTAAAATATACAAACAACCCTTACACCACCAACTTTCAACACTTGTGAAGGCCTACACCTGTGAGCTCTGCTCCAGTGGTTTGAACTGTGTCACACTGTCTCTTCTGCTGGCTCAACAACAGTTAGCATACAAATGCCCATTTAGATTATAATCCTCTAATAGCATAATATCTAATATCTAATCTGGCCATCACATAGGAGGTGAGCAGTATTACTGGAAAGCATGTGTATAAACCAAAAAATAAGGCTAGTACCTGGTTTGGTACTATTTAAATAAAAAATATATTTTTAATTAACTCTAAGAATAAAGAACAAGAACACACAAATGTGATTTTAAAGCTTTAAATATGATGTCCTAGTTAGAGTTTCCATTGCTGCATGAAATACCATGACCAAAAAGCAAGTTAGAGAAGAAAGGGTTTATTTGACTTACAGTCCCACATTTTGTTCATCATCAGAGGAATTCAGGACAGACAGAAACTTAAATAGGATAGAAACCTAGAGGGAGGAGCTGATGCAGAAGCCATAAAGGGGTGCTGGTTACTGGCTTGCCTCACATGGTTTGCTCATCCTGCTTTCTTATAGAAACCAGGACCACTCCATTCATAATGGACTGGAATCCCTAAAAACTCCCATAAATCACTAATTAAGAAAATGCCTGACAGACTTGCTTATAACCTGATCTAATGGAAGCCTTTTCTTAATTGAGGTTTCCTCTTCTAAGATGGCATTAGCTTGTGTCAAATTTACATAAAATCATCCAGAACATATGCACACATGCATACTCAACTGTTTAAGCTACATGCTGTACATGCTGTGTTGATAAACATGCCCTAATAAGGAGTCATAATTAAGAAATTGAATTTTCTGTTCAAGCAAGTAGAGAAACTTGTGTTAAAATGGCAGAGACTTAGCCAAGTGTTTGAGAAAACATCCTTTTCTTCATTAATAAGTATGCATATACTTATCATTAGAAATTAATACAATCTTAGTATCCATGTATTTATTCATGTGTATATGGCTAAATAATACTGCAAAAATCCATTTTCAAAAGAAATATTGGTCCTCGTCCGTTTATGTAGTAAATGATAGACTTAATTCCACTGAACTTAATTCAGTTCTTTACTACTAAAAATGACTTAATGAGATATAAGACAAAAAAAAGAAAGGTTATATTTTGTCAAGAAGGAAAGGGCAGTATTGTTCAATACCTTTTCTTAAGTAACCTTTACATGTGCAATTAACATTTAAAAGAAATAAAATTTTGGAAGCATTATAGAATAATTGCATAAATGTAAAAAGTAGTTAGAAACCTGTGGTCTGTTAGGAGAAATTCCTTCAAATAACACTGACAGTTACCAGAAAGTGAATTTGTGATGCATAAAAGATGAGAAAAAAATCTCATTTGGTTGCATACTTACTGCTTTCTCCTTTTTTTTTTTTTTAAGTAAACTTCAACTCACTGACATTTTCTAGGGTGAAATTTTCATCCTAACACTGAATTGATCTTTAAAACACACATTTTGAAATACTTGTGGAGGGTGAGGAAACATGCTATTAAGCACCAGCAGGGGAGAGAGAAGTGGAATGACTCATGCCTTAAATCTTACAGATCATTTGCCTATCATCCAGTAATTTTTCAGAACCTGTTACATCGAAAGTTTCATTTTTGTTTGTTTCTAGTTTCTACTACTATATCTAGCTTTCCACCCTATGGCACATACGGTAGGTATATGAACTATTAACCAAGCTTTGTAATTTATTTACAGATCAGAAGTAGTTGGAATATGAATCAAACACTAAATTCAAGAGCTATTTTTTTCTTGTGAAGTGAGTTTAGGCAATATGAATTTTATAATACCTGTCTGATCTGTTTGATTTTATGTCTATGTAATTGGTGATTGTTCCTGCCAACTCTGGTAGGGCTTTTGTTTGTTTGTTTGTTAGCAGAAGCTTCTACATTAGAGGTTTATAAGCACCTCTGCAAACAACTTGCACATTTCTCCAAATGAATTTTGCCATTTCCATGTAGCAGTTAAGGATGATTTTTCCCTATTTCCTATCTAAAACAACACTAGGAGTAACTGTGTAGAGAAGGAAAGACTACCACTTGATATACAGAACCCTTCTATATCAAGAATACATGTTTTATGGAAAATAATCGAAGCATGCTGGATGCCCCTCTATGGGGGCATTCAAGGGTGGGGAGGTGAGAGTGAGTGGGTAGGTGGGGGCACACCTTCATAGAAGTAGGAGGCAGGGGGGATGGGATGGGGGCTTCTGGGGGGTCAAATGGGGATAGGAGATAACATCTGAAATGTAGATAAATAAAATATCCAATAAAAATAGAAAAATAAGAAGAAAAAGCTCTTATATGTGACAAATGATACACTTCTCTTCTTGTTACTACATTAAGACTTATTAGTTTTTAAGTCTCCACTGTGTAATGTAATGTGCTTCCATGCAGATCACTATGAGGTTAGAATATGTAATTTGATGAAATTCTTAAGTGTTTATATTCATGTATATATTTCGGATATTTTGAACATCCTGATAAGCCCTTAGAAACAGTGATCATGGGAGTGTTCACAGAATTGTGTTTAATGCTTTGCTTGTTCTATGGCTATTTGTGTTTATTGTCTTGCTTGTTCCTTGACTATTTGCATCTATTGTATTGCTAGTCCCTCAACCTAGAACTGACCTTAATACATGCATGTAATTACAATGGTATAAAAGCAAAAAGGAGGTGAGGGGATGGGATAGGGGGTTCCTAGGGAGGGGAAATGGGGAAAGGGGATGACATCTGAAATGTAACTATTTGTATCTATTGTATTGCTAGTTCCTCAACCTAGAACTGATCTTAATACTTGAATGTAATTTAAATGGTATAAAAGCAAAAAAGGAGGAGAAGGGATGGGAAGGGGATTAATTGGGGGGGAGGGGGGACTGGGAAAGGGAATAACATCTGAAATGTAAATACAGAAAATATCGAATAAAAGAAGAAAAAAATCCAATAAAAAAAGGAAAAAAGACACCCAATTAAAAAAAAGAAAGAAAATACTTTGAGGCAAGAACTACTGTGAGGTATATAGTATAATGATCCCATAGTTCTCATGATCTCTTTATTTTTCTCCCTTACTTTCCCATTTTGCTTAATTTGTGACCCATTAAAAGCTTACATCAGTAATGAATATACATCATTTCTACTGAGGTCCTTTCTACTGTTATCTAAAACTTGTTTTGATGATTTCTGTCTCTTACATTTCATTAAGATTTTTTTGTGGGTGTGCATTGATCTATGACCTATCCTAGATATACAAAAAGAACCTGGTAATAGAATAGCCAAGGAGTAATAACAAAGTAAATAAATAACTAAGTATTAGCTACAGGACTGATGAAACTAACAGTATGAATTAATTAAGCTGTCTAATAAAAGAAAGAGTTTAACAAAACAGACTTGAAAATGTATAATTTATGAGTAATCTACTAGAAATTTAAATGAGATGACAATATTAAAAGCATTTGGAAAGCCTGTATTAAAAATGACTCAATCATGCCTGTTTGATCACTTACATACAGCATAGTCCTGAATGTTTGAATTAGCACACACATTTTAAATAAGATTTTCACCAGTCTCTTGCGTTATTAATAGCTTTCCTTTCATTGGCTGCTTTTACTAGTGTTGGTATCAAGTTAGCAAATACTCCTTCCTCTTTATTTTAAACTAGATGACAAATAATTATTTTGTATAGTTTAATTATTTGAAACAATTCCTCATTGAATCCTTTGTTGAGAAATTAGTTTTTCATTCTAGATTATCTGATTTGGGGGTATATATATATATATATGATGAAATGTACAGGTCTCTAATATATTGACATACCTTCCTTTCAGACCTACTTTATATATTTTTTATTCAAAAATGTTGATTTAAAAATTATAATTATTTGAGTTATCCATGAATGCTTAACAATTTTACTGATCAACCACTAACCTTTTATATTTTTCGTTTTAGAATCTTGTAAAATATCTTCCTGAGCAGAACGTACTCCGAGAACTAGCACAGCTTAAGAATGAATATGATGATCTCTGTGAGCCTGAGCAGTTTGGTGTTGTGGTATGTATTGATTCTAAAGTGCTATGAATACACTTCTCATGGGCAAAAACATAAAATATTAGTTGATGTCTTTTACTTTATAACTTTATAATTAAATATAATATCGACTTAGAAAAAATCTTTTTTGCCTATAGCATTAAAAAGTAACTAAGTTGCTTTTGACATTTATAAAATATGCCAAAACATCATGGGATAGTCTCTTTAACAGTGCTTATATTTAATGATATTAATGCATGAAAAGTAGTATGCTGTATTACACTGTCTAATTTTCTTCCCCTCAGATTTGAAGATTAGAATTTAGCTCCCCGAAAACGTCTAAATAAGAGAATAATATCTACATAAATAAAAAAGAATAGAAACTGTTTTATATATATATATATATATATATATATATTGTGTAAGAAAAATGATAAGAATTTTCAAATGTTCTTGAGTGTCATTAATCAATTGAGAGCTTGCAATGTGTTATTTCTGTCAGGACAAATAACTTATAAAGATACCTCAGATAGTTTAATCATTTTCCTTATATCCATCATATGAAGTGCCAAAAAGTAATGACTATTTATATAGGATATGGTCATATGTCTTAAAATACCACAAACCTGTTATTCAAATAATTAGCCAGAAAGATTATATAAAGGACATCAAAGTTTTAGTTTATTTTTGAATGAAACTATTTCTTTCCAGAGCTGGTGGCTGCACCCACAGCCTTCTGCATGCTAGATGAGCACTCTACTGTTCAGCTAAATTTCCAACCGCTAAAAGATTTTTTATTATTATTCTTCAGGTGTTCAGGTCGGATGTATTTGCTATATGAGCAAGCAATTCATTTATGGCTTCTTGTTTATTCTGGCTTCCCTATTGTTTTCCATTTGTAAACAAAGGAATTTTTTTTCAATTACCCTTGGACCTGTTTTTCAAATACCTAGGAAGCTTCATCCAAACTTTTGTATAATGTTTCAAATTAATTATGTTAGAATTAATGTGATTTCCTATGTTGCAGTTTTAATCTCTTGTTCATATATCCCTCAATTACATGGGACTGAGTATGTTCTTTTTAGCAAATACAGTAAATGTTTTTTTCATATTTCAAGTTCATTTATTCTAGGGCATGCTATTGCCTACCTTGAGGTAGAAAGATTTGTCAAATCTTTGGAAAGGAAATCAGGCAAGCATATTTGGGATCAAATAAAACATATAATGAACCTAGGGAGCATATTTCTCTTATTTTTAAATCAGATCTATTAGTCAACTGAATTGGCTCTGTATTATTTATTAACTAGTCGCACTTTACCAGAGTGCTAAATAATAAAATTTGTAGCCCCAAGTCCATACTTGAAACCTAAGCACCTCAAATCCATCTTATAATTGAAGCAGGGCTATACACTATCTGAGATTTCAGCTGCATCCTGATGGTTATGAGTTTTACAGTAGGTACACTACACAGTTTCTCAGAAACCATTTTTCTCTCAGTGCAGTTTATCTAAGAAGATGTATTAGTTTGTCAAGCAAGTCCTTCAGGAGGAATATCCTTGGTACCTCACTGAGGAAATGAAATTGGGATGGGGGAGCCTGAAAAGCAATATACCTTCAGAACTAAAGGCAAAAGTAGAAAATGGAAGAGATTTCTCGTTTATGCACATTATCATAAATATTTAAGTCTTTGTGTACATGAATTGTCCTAGTCTCCCTCTTTACTCTCACCGCATCTTGCTGTATATCTGATATAGTGGGGTCAGAGAGAATCTTGGTTATTTCTCGGCAGTGTGCACTAAGTAAATTGCCAGAGAATATCAACTGAGACTTATCAAATAAATTTTAGGCACACTCTTCTTAATTATATAATAGTAACCCTAATAATTAATTAATAGTAACTACTAATAACTTTCATATTTTAAATTTATGTAAGTCTGTAAAATAGGCAGTAAATATTTTTGAATTATAAGGAACTTTTCATACAAAAGTGTGAGTGAGAGACTTTAAAAGGACAGAAAAGTAAAACATGCACTAAAATATTATCAAACTAAATTAACTGTGAGGATATACTATCATCCTATTTAGCCCTTTGATTTATATCAGCTGCCTAATGTGAAGAGAGCATTGGAAAGCAGAATCCTTTTCACTAATAAGAGAATCCTCAAGTTGATAAAGCCCTTGGCCTGAGCTTTCTTTACCTATTATATTGCATAGTATATTCTTATTAAAAATTGATATTTATAATTTCAATACCAAAACTCTTCAGTGCTTCCTTGACTTCAGAAAATAAGTTTCTAGCACCACATTCTACTTCTCTCTTTCACTTCTTATTCTGCCTGTCTTTCCATTCTTTCCATTTACCATGAAATCTTTTCTTACCAGTGACATGACAAAAGCACTTCTGGACCTCCTGTTTCTATTCTACCTCCAAAGTTGCTTTGTCTTTGTATCACCCAGGCTCTTCTTTTTTGGGCTCTAGTTAGCCTCCTGTCCTGAACTCTTCTGTACCTACTTGTTCTTGAATTAATGCTGTTGTTTTCGCTCAGGGAATGAGCCCAGATTTCCCAGATGCTGGCCTCCTCAGTGACTTTCTCTGCTCTTCCCTTTGTTGGGGTTATGGATATATGCCTCTGTGTCTTTCCATGGGTTTTGGGGTCTGAACTAAGGTCTTTGTGTTCATGTAGCAAACAGTTAACCCACTGAGACATACTCCTGGCCATCCCCACAGTATTAACTTATCTTAGCTTCTCAGGCCCATTTTGTCCTCACACCTGCCAACCTTTCTTAGCTGTAGATGTTAACCTTTGGTGTGGATGAGCTCATTGTATGCAGACATATTGAATTTCATTTGTTATGGGTGTGAACTTATTCTTTCTTCTCAGAATCATTGCATGTGTTATCATCTCTGATTCCCAGTCCTTACCAATAGTATTGAAACTCATTCTTGAAATCTTAGCTTAAATTTGCCTTTCGAAGTAATTATGCCATGGTCCTAACTAGCAAAGGTAGGTTTATCTTTCTAAAGTCCCAGAGCCTCCTTTTAAAATTCCTTGGTCCATGAAGGCTTGATGCCCCAGCATAGGAGAATGCTAGACAGATGAGGTAGGAGTGGGTTGGTGGGTGTGGGAGCACCCTCATAGAGGCAGGGGGAGAGGGAATGAGGGTTTGCAGAGGGGAAACCTGGCAGGGGGATAATACTTGAAGTGTAAATAAATAAAATAACCAATAAAACATTCCTTTGTAGAAAGTAATAATTTAGTAAGTTATTTTTGAGGTTATTAGTTAAATGTGTTCTCTTAGATTATTAGTTCTATAAGTAGATGAACCACATTGATATCTCTCATGATTTGTCCCTACCAAATTATTGCTGAATATGTTTGACAAATCCAAATTCCAGTGGGCCCTTTCCTCTCCTGTCTTACTCTCAGTTTATATGCCACTTTCTAACACTGACAGATTTAAACATTTTATGGAATTTTCCTTGTCTTGCTTTTTTACATAGTAAGAATTTCCTTCCTGCTTTTATTTCAGTACCTCTTGCCCAGTGCATTATAGAATTTCCATTAATATATAACTCCCTAAATAAAAGCAGAGTCAGATATGGAAGATAGGTGCCATACATGAGATTACTTCTTAGATATTGTTTAAAATACTACTACCAATAAGGAACAGCTAATTTCACAAAACTGGTTGATATGTTTGCAGGGATAGAAAAGAAAGCTTATCTGAGTCAGGCCCTGTGTTGTGGGCTTCTCAATAATTTTTTGCTTTTCTAAACTGTCACAACCTTGTGTTTGCATATAATCACTTGTAATCAACTGGGAGGGGAAAAACAGAGGAGGGGATTAAGCATAAACAAACAATATCAAGCAGAAGATCTTTCCTCTGTGGAGGCAGACCTCCCAGCAAGAGGGACATGCTACTTCCTACACCTTCTGTGATCAATAATCTTCATCTTTAAAGGAATGGATTGGCTGCATTGCTTCCCACTGACTTGTCCTTCAACCTACCTCCTACGGAATTGAATTTGGTACATCCATTGTAATTATGTGCTGTACCTTTACTGGAAGAAAAGTACAGATCTTTGAAAGCTCTGACAGTCAGAACCCCCAGCTGGAGCTTTTAGATGACTCTGAGTGTGTTTGCAGCTCAGCTGTTCTCAAACCTCAGAGCTATGGAAATTCCCACTTGTCTTGCACTGGAAATGGAGACCCATACTGTGTATATCTATTAAACTAGCATGTCTTCTGAGGGAAGAAGGCAATAATTAGTTCTCTTAGTAATCAGTACTTTCATTTTTCTGACTTCAAAATTACCCATATTTTTCAATTACAAACATTCTCAAGCTATAATCTAGGGGGAAAAAGATGTTTCGATAACCTCATAGTTGTAAATCATTAATGAACAGATATGTGATATTGCTGACAGAACAATATATGAAGGTAAAAGGAGAGTTAGAACTACACCTATAAGCTCTTTTAGCTTTAATTGTTTTAAAGACTCAAAAACGAGCTTACAGACCTTGTTAAAGAAAGCTTAACCAGGTGAAAAGGAGACTGGTAAAAAGCTTCCCTCCTCTTTATAGTATCAAAAGCAAGTATGTTAGAACGCAGATTGTAGGTTTTGTTAATATTACATCACTTTCTGGGTTTGCATATTCATTAAGAAAAAAATCTCATTTTTCTTCATCTTGCTTGCAATCAGTGTGTACAGTGTTTTAACAAGTAACTTTTCATTGTTTCTGGTTTCATTTGTCTGCACACGTGAATGCCAGCTCTCACTTCTAGATGTGGATAATTTTATCTGAGGAAAAGGCAACTTGCTAATTTTTGATTAAATGAAAGAAAATTCACGAGTTAATATAAAATCCTTTATATTACGAGTTAATATAAAATCCTTTATATTACTGGTCATTTCATTAATTCCTCATATGAATCCATTCTCAGGATTGTTTATTGTGGTCATCTTTTATAATAAAACAAAGTAAAATGAAACCACCTGAAAATTTGGTATTCACGGTTGTT